CGTTGTACGTTTTGCATGTCTAGGTGGAGGCAAATATATATTTTATGGACATTTATCACATCACTAAGTTTTCCTTGTCGGACATGAATACGACACATGCTTTTGGTGAGTTCAACAACCCAAGTGCTCATTCCATCCTGTGTCTAGCCACGCGAGTTCATGCCAGGAACAAACTGGCAAGCCCTTGCCCGAGTTCAAAACCTTTATGTGACAGTTTGAGTGTAATCAAGCAGCTCACTGGAGAGGAACTGGGTCTATCGATTTCTGGGTCGGCATTTGATGTCCAGCAGACGCTAAGGCCTCTGGGTGGCACCAGCACCACTGAAGATCATGTTGACACCCCATGAAGGGTTGCGCGAAGTCGCCCGCCTGTTTTCGAGGGCTGTATCGCAGATTCATGCAGATTCAAACTCATATGAATTTATAGCGATGCGTACATAATGAATTGACTCAGATGACAGCTGTTGAAAAAAATGTTTACCTACTCATGTTTTTCCTTGAGAAAGGTAGCCTTTTCGAGCAGGCATGGAAGGCCACAACCAAACTATAAAAAATGTATTTTCCGTGCTTGCCCAGCCCTGCCAGGGCTCATACCAAAGATGGCGGGGCTGTCGGCTGCACCGTAACCTTGTCACACCGTAATATAAGTCAACGTTTTGAAAGCAGGGTTGATGGGAGTTGATGTTCAGAGGCCTAGCGTCTGCCAGGACTGATGTCCAGCGGGCCAGTGTCCCCAGGGTTGATGTCCAGCGGGCCAGTGTCCCCAGGGTTGATGTCCAGCGGGCCAGTGTCTGCCAGAGTCGATGTCCAGTGGGCCGGTGTCCGCCAGGGTTGATGTCCAGTGGGCCCTTGCCAATGTGATCCGCCGGTTGCATGTGATCCCTGCCGATTCGCACGTACCATGGGGCTCAGGACGGTTAATTTTTGCACGCACGCGGTTTCGCTTTCATTGCACGTGGTTTCGTTTTTGCCCTATTTAAACAATATCACCAGCCAAACGTTGGAGGTGGGATACCGTGGTTGATGGTCCACAAACACGTGCGAGGAGATAGCCCTTCATGGTGCCTGACCGGACACACCGTCTCGCTAATATCCCGGTCGCCCGCCTCATCCTAGCCCTACGGCTCACATGTATGTGTTGATATCGGGTGCGCCGGAATCATTACATGCCCGAGTCGCGCGCTGACGTCATCTGGCTCGTATGCTGACCAATGGGCTGCTCAGTAGGAATGTGCTCTTGTGAGGAGGTGCGATACCTGCAGCCGGTGATACACAACACCAGTGACCAGCGGCAGCAGCGCAGCGCACGCACCACGCTCCGGAACCCCCCCCCCCCCCCCCCGCTACATACACACAGTCAAAGAGCCTCCCTTTAGTTTGAGATCCCCAGAGTGGTCAGCAAGGATTTTAAATGTTTAGAGGGATCCTACGTAGCTAAACGGGCCCTTCAGTGAGCAGAGCGTCCCTGGTGCCCACGAAGTCCCTGCTGAACAGCCAACATGTCTTTATTATATTTCTAGTTCAGGGACTGAAGGGCTTTTCCGTCCAATTCCGGGGCTCTTATTTACTACTTCTCTAGCGACGCGGGGCTTGGGGCCTTCTGGACGAACCGGAGGCCCTCAGATCGGTTTGCTTCTTGACGCAGGAGGCGCTCTGACCGAAGCAGTTAGCTCCGGTTCGACGCAGGAGCCCACACTGACGCAAAAGGATCACTTACCGGTTCAGATAGTCCAATCATTGGCATGCGCACCCAATTTTGGCCTATCTGCCACGAGTCCAAGCGGGGCAAAGTTCGGTGCTGCGACTATCTGGTATCGGGGCCTTCCATTGTTTCATCGTGAAATTTTCATTGCCATGTTTTATGTATCCTTTCATCGTCAGTGTGCCCTGACCAACACAAGATGCCCAACACAACACGAGATTCGTGGCGTCGGCATTGCCTACCCTTGTTCAGCAAATGGGCTTCTTGACGACGAAGGATCCCTGCACTGTGAGCGCCCTGGCCAACGCAGAGGCCTTCTTATTGTCTCAGATACCCTAACCAAGGCAAGAGGCCTTTAAAATGGCTTTCGCGACACCAGAACTTGCCCTGCTTGAAAAATGGCCGCCAGCTTAGCACTGGGCCGACTGTTTGGTATTCTTGGTCTCTGACCGGCATCGGGGCCCTCATTGTCCCAGGGCGGGCGTTGAGGGCGATCGGTACAGGAGGCCCTCTGACTTACATTCATAGGTCCGACCCGCGGAGGGCCTGGCCCGTGGAGGACCCGGCCCGTGAAGGACCCGGCCCGTGGGAGACCTGGTCCGTGGAGGGCCCGGCTCGTGGGGGACCTGGCCCGCGGAGGCCTGGCCCGTAGAGGGCCCGGTCCTTGGGAGACCCGGCCCGCAGAAGGCCTCGCTTGCGCACGGCCCCGCTTTACGACCTCCGGCCAGCCCTCGTGGCGCTACAAGCCGCCAGTGGGGTTTCAATTCGGCCCCCAGAGACCTAAAAGAACACGTTTCCCCACTGTCGCCCTGCCTGCGCCCATTGGCCCACGAGCTGCCGGAAGTGCTTTTGATCGGTAGAGGGACCTCTGAGCGGTCAGGTGGGCTTTGGAAAACTAACAATCATGGACATAGGAACAGGGGAGGGGCCAGTGGGCCATGCCCTCACCCCACTTTTCAAGGGGGGGGGGCAGCAGTGTCAACTGGTCCCCCCCCCACACTTTTCATATTAAGGTTATGTTTAGCTTACTTTTGCACCACAAAAAATTGACCCCTCACCCCAGCGAAGCGTATCTAGCTGGCCACCCGGGCGCGTGTTAAAAATGTAAACAGAATTTATTTCACGGTGGGTTCTGGTTTCTGTTCTAGTTACAACGTAAAAATAGCAATGAAACGAAGAAAACCGTGTCCCTTATTGACAAGTAAACTATATCCGGGGATACTTTTTTGTGGGGCGGGATCACCATAAAGGGGGCTTTTGTCAACCCTGTGTTCCTCTTAGCAAGGCTCTGGCTACCCCCAGCCAACGCACAAAAGTGGATCAAGTCATCTACCTTGAATGACGGGCAATTAAATGTCCGTTGGGCCAATTCGTACCTAAAGTAGGCAGCTTCCCGGCGGCATTTTTCTGGGGCGGTGTGGTGTAAATGAAGATTATTCGGAAAAGGTATTGTTGCAGGTGTCCAACACATGTTTTACATCCCAATTACTAGCGATGCTGATCCAGAAATGTGCAACAAAGCAGCCATACCATCAGCCGGCGGTCAGTCATTCGAAGACAGCCGGGCCAGGACAGTGGCCACCGACGGCGGACGGGAGCAGGACTCAGACGAGGAATATAAGACAGAAGGGTTTCATTCTGTGGCTTGGTTTTTAAACGAGAATCTCAAGTTCTATGGCTTTTGACAAATGGTTTGTGACAGCTTCAAGCTTCCGAATTTGTTTCCGTCTAAAATGCCGCGACAAGTCTTGTCTCTTGAAAAGCAGCCAGCGAAATGAACGCGCATGCAAAATCTGTTGTGCTGTGAGCCATCGATTCACTTTCACAATTCTCACCAGCCCATGGTTAGGCCATATTTTGGCATCTTCCCTGTGGAGACAGACGCCTCCTCAATGACCCAAAATGCCTACCCGCTGGTGGAATTTCGACTCCCCAGGAAAGACAACGTTGAAATGGACGAATCATCTTGGGAAGCTGGATAGCTTTATTTCCCGAATGGAACAGATGAGTTGGACATGCAAGAGTGTGCACCAGTGAGAATCAGCTCTAGATGCATATCTAGAATAGCAGTCATTACAGTTGAATAAAGAGCGATAAGCTCCATCTCTACCGTCTCCCACAGCCCTCCCCCCTGTCATCGGGTTTGTTTTCCAGAAAAAGTTCCTGAGGTACGCCCTGAGCTTGGTCCCCCACTTTCTGAAACGTTCCTACGCCTATGCTAACAACATCAAGAGACAGATGTTCAGGGAGTTGTGAGGGCACAGCTAAATGTTCCTGAGGACCAGGCGGGCTACTGAATGCCCATTAGACCCTCAGAAGTCACGAGGGTCCGCGACTTGGGGAGGGACGAGAGATGAGCGTTTGAGTAGCCTGAAGGACCACGGGGCAGTCAAAGGTACCCATTGGTGACCGTAGTGGCCTTGGGTATCCAATGCAGCCCCATAGATTCAGATTGAAATTAACATTGGTTGAGAGCCCCTCGATGGCCAGACGAACCCTCAGTGGCCAGAAAGACCCTGAACCAAAACGGCCCATGAACGGCCTGATGTGTCTTGAACTCACAGGCCCCGAGCGGTCAATGCAAACTCTGAGTGGTCGGAGCCATTCGGTAGTCCCGATGCCCCTTTGGTGTCTTGATCGGACTTTGCAGGTCCGGGGTGCCTTAATTGTCTATATGAGGACCCTAAACTACTAGCGCCTCTAATGGCCGGAGAGTACCCGCTGAACGGCCTGAGGGGTACCGGGGTTTCTAAATGGGGCGTACCGAGCTTTCAGACAGGGCTTTTTCAGAACTGCTATTTTGGGGAAGACTATACTATTATGTGTTTCCAATTCAGTGCGGTCATTTTTTTGCGTTGTGCGAGCCGAAGAGCCAAGGTAGCCAAGGGCCAAGGGGCCCTTGGGCCACAGGACCCTACCCCCACAATTTATATTTTCCTGGTCCAGACTTCCATACCCACTCAGCGCCACCCAGCCCCCTCATGATCTCCAGCCATGGGCTCAGGCCCCTTTAGGTATAAGAAGTGAGGCCCAGACGCAGGTCCCGTATACAACATAAAGGGCACATGCACACTAAAATGTAATTGAGCGAAATCCGATAATTTTTGGGAGGCTTCCAAAGCCTGAAGACAGCTCAGCTCATGTACAGCTCATGTGCAGCTCAGCAGACTACTTGGACGTGGTGATAAAGACGTCTGGCAGGTTCAGTCCCATTTTTGCGTCTCACAAATTAGTAGTAAAATCCCGGAAATACAGTTCAGTTGCAAAACGGCGCATTAGCTACATTTGAATTGCTCGCTGACATACGGTGGAGCGCGGAAAACAAAATAACTTATGATATTAAAGATTCCTGTCAGAAACAGTTCCATGGTATGAGATATCTCTTATCCAATCCTTCAAGTAGAACACTAATCATCATTGACGTATGATGTTGCACAGGCACACACGAGTCCCTTTGATCAAGAATTAAACTGCTTGCCTCTGTCATTCTCGTTTACTCCCTCTGGTTTCCGCGTAGTGGCAATGGATACGTCGATTGAGTTTGATGGTCTACTCTCACCTTCTTGCATGAGGCATCTGATGTCAAGCTTTGTGAAGTATGTTCTTTATCAAAGAGGGCAAATACCATTCCATTTTGATTCACTAAAGGACTATGTCGAGCTGCCATCATCCAGTCCCAAATCACCTTGTGTGGGTCATGTTGCACCCAATGAGGAGATCATTGGCGAAGATGTTCGTGACGTATGTCATCGCAGACAACAGCTGGTAAATATATCTTGCATGCACTGCCCCTTAGCTATACTAAGCTGGCCTAAAAGAAGCCGTATTGTGCCAGATACATCATTCTCAGCATCTTGGTTAAATGTGGTGTTGGCAATATGCGTGGGGAACCCGAATGCTTAATACTTCTGATGATGCCACTAGCCCATTAAGGATGTTATCAAAGCTTTTTGTAGTTTGCAGACTGGCCATGTGAAAGGCAGATGTGTCTTATCGCATGGCACGACTCAAACTTGTGGAATGATGGGCTGTAGCTTTTCTCTGTTATGTCTGGTCCCATGCACATTAGGTTAGCAGGGACAGCAAGGAGATAATTATGAAGCTGAATGTTTTTGTCAGCCTCTGTTCAATTCCAAAGATGCAAATTTAGGGCTATTCTTTGTATTTTGCTGTATTGCTGTTTTTTTATTTCCAGCATAATTAGGCTTTTTTGATGTTTTTAAGTCTCAAGAACAATTTGCTCCCATATCTGTCACCACTTGCCTTCAGTTGGTCAGTGTGTCACATCTTGTATGCCAGAATTTGATAGTGAACCTTAGTTTCTGAATTAGTCCCTCTTTGTGCACATCTTTGGGTGTGCTGCTAAGTGTAGTAATTGCTATATTCCAATCGATTTTCAGTTGTCAGTGGATTAAGGCATGCTCTGCATTTAAAATGGCATGTAAAGCTGCAATGTTGAACAACTGTTATAATTTAGGTTGTAACATCAGTACCTTACATCCCAATTTAAAATGCCCTTGCCCTTCTTATCAGTGGTACCTTGATAGTTTGAACCACACTTACCTGCCACTCATTTTCATCAGCTGAGTGTAATCCAGAAGGTGCTATAATGCATTTATAACTGGTTTACCATTTCATTTGTCACATTGTGTGGATCCATGATTAATGATGGTGATGTTCATTACAGTTTGAAAATGATGCTACTTGACTTGAGTTTAACTGAATAAATGCACCATTGAGCTTATATGCCAGAGACAATGTACATGCCATCTCATATGTTGTGCAGTACAAGTTTATTTTTGCAAAAGTCATTAGGAGAGCTGAAAAGAAAGCCCAACTGCATGATTTCTACCTTGTCCATTTATCTTTCTGATGATTCATTACCACATTACCTATGACATATGTGGACTGATACCTGAAGACCCTGCAGATGTGTTTTGAGATATTTCTCTTTTTTTCTTTTTCATTGTGCCATTTTGTTAACTGATGATCAGCCCAGATCAGCAGTATTTTCCAGGGGTTTCTGCGACACATTTTTGAAGCAGTGTGCCTTGCCTACACAGCAAGGAATGGCACTTGTTGCCTGTTGTGACCCCTGCACAAGACCTGCTTTCATATATGACAGAAAATCAGGGATGAGTGTTTTAAACTGACCATATGCCAGACCCTAGTGGGGTCCTTCCAGGCATACAATTAGGCTTAATTACCATGAACCCTTGTTATGCCTGACAAATTCATCCGGCATGTTGAATTTGCATCTCAAATCCTGTTGGATTCATTTGATTTAAGCTTACAGCAATTTGGGGTAACATGGATGCAGCATGGATGCTGAGGTCGGAAATGCAAGCAAGTTATTAGAGAGACCAAATCTGCTGGAATGCTCCTTGTATGGCAATTGTGACATCCAGTTTTTCAATAAAGCCTTCATAGTCTTTTGTAAAGTGATTGTGTGGATGTCAGCCACTTTTCCTTTATGCATGCTGGGGCTGGGAAGGTAGCATTTGGTGGATGACAGTCAGTTTTCACATTTTCAGTTTTGATGGCTTTGATGGCAGCACCTGTTTACATGTGATATGTTGCCTGCAAGTTTAATTGTCACATTATGTTTCAGCAGGGGCATCATCAGTGGCCACACAATTGTATGCTGCTTCTTGTAAGGGCATCGCGTTTGTCTGATTTTGTCTATGTGTTATCTACGTGCTGTGTCCGCTTGTCTGCACTACAAGTTTTCTTATTAAATTGCAGCGAGAGAACATGAAACTGATGAAAGCTCGTCGGAAGAAAGCAAAGAATGACGAGAAGCTCCGCAAAAGAATCATAACATTTTTAGCATCTTACAACGCATATGACCAGGTGAGACTTGGACGAGAATCAGGTACTCCCGAGTTTGCTCCGAAGTTATTAATATGTTCATCTTCCCCCAGGTCGACAGGTACATGAAAAAGTGTCAGGGGTCCCCGCTGATAGGTTGGTGCATTTTGGGACAAAACAGGTCTTTCTTTCCTTGCAAATGCACACTGCTTGACACACGTGTATCTAAAATACGTAATATTCCAAAATTATTCCCCACTCAACCGAAGACGGATCGTCAGTTTCCGATCAAGAATCAATCTCTACAGCCATAGCCGCGGGCTAATATGATCATGATGTCAAGGTTAAAATATCCGGAATATTTAGTCGAAAAGGGGGAAATGTAGAGGGAGCTTTGAGGTACAAGGGGGTCCCAGCGGTGGTGGAAATATGTTACAAAAACGCAAGCGATATTTACTTGGTAGTTAAATGCTATAAACAAAATATGTCTCATAGTATTACACTGTATTGCGCAGAGATTGGAAACAATAATGTTTTGCCGTACTGGACTGAAGTCATCAAGAAAAACAGTAAGATGCACATTTAGAGAACGGTAGCTTCCTTAAAGCTTCATTCGCACGAAAACCTGTCGTGATAGCTGCCGTGGCAAGTGGTGATTTTCATGGCCACATTGTCAAGAATATGGCTAAGCTTATTTATGATTCGATTGCGATCGATTGAAACCTATTCTTCCACGATGTATCACACAAAGGGCTCCCGCTTGCCGCAGAATGCTACACAGCTTGGTGTTTACCGCCAACTGTTTCGGTTTTCAGCATCTTACGTCGACGTTGGACAGCCGAAGTTTACGGGCGGGCGTGCAGGTGGCGTTGCTGCTGGGCGGAACTGTCATCAGTCCGAAGGAGGTGTACGTGCTTCACTTCCCGAGCGCCGAATCTGGCTTTGACGAACATCCGGGCAGGCTCCAGCACCGGAGAGGCGCGGTGCAACTGTTCAGGTGCGTCCAGCTCTGTTCTCACTGGCAACGCAGTTGTTGGCACGATCCAGCGACTGCAGGAGGATATCCCCGACAGCTCTGGGCTCGTCTAAAGTTAATTGATCTGGTTCGACTCGCCTTCTATACTTGGACCCGGATGTTGGCACGTGAAAGGAGTGTTTCATATTTGTGAGGTTTTTTAAACAGAAATGGCTATATTGAAAACTATTCGGTGCAGTTCACAGCCCCGCCTTTCTTAAGACCAAAGCGCTTCTAGTTTCTGAGCTACACGCCCGTGAAGAAGCGCAGATTATTTCAGGGGAGACCATTTCAAGGTCACCGAGGCATCTGTGACGCCATAATAGCGTCACTCAAATGCGTCCATTCCATTGGTCATACGGCGACCAAGGGCAACAAAATGTAATTGTCGAGTCGCTCATGTCTGGCGTTCGCGGGCATAATTTCCAGATATAAAGAACGACAAGTGTCGCTCAATCAGTGTTGTGCAAAGTACGACGGCGTAATCAGGCATTGACGTATTGAGGAGAATGTTTGCTTAACAGAGAATTTGTGTTGTCTAGAGCAGTCTTTCTGACTGAGAGACATACCAACAGTTATGAGTGAGCTTATTTAGAGGTAGTGTTTCACATTTGAAGATATTGAAGCAGTCATCATTAAGCATTCATATGATGAAACAAGCTCACTTAGAACTATCTGTATACTTTTTAAGTGGAAAAGTCCCGTCCTCGTTGACTCAACCCGAAAGTGATATACCTAAAATGCCACATCAGCCATAGTATCCCTAACATGAACCGAGTCAAGTGTTGGTTGGAGAGTACACCCCGAACGACTGGCCCGTGTTGCCGCCTGCCTGCAGCTGGACTCCCGTAATGGTCCCGTCTGCCTGCAGCTGGACTCCGGTAACGGTCCCGTCTGCCTGTATCTGGACTCCCGTAATGGTCCGTTCGCCCTTTTCATTCGCTCTCAGCCTGATCTCCGCCGCACTGCGGTTCCACTTTTGTTGAGGGCGATATTTGGAGTGGATAGAGGAGAGAAGGGAGTCGTATGAAGTACACGACATCAGGCGTGCGTACCTTAAAAGAGATCATTTTATTTGGGCCCAATCTGTAAGCTATCTACCTGTCGGAGAGTGGCACAACCTTTTTAGATTTCCTATGGTAACTTTCGGCGGTGAAAAAACATTGTCAGTGGTCCTTCCCCTGGACCGGATGTGTTTCCAGCCTGCGACGCAACAGGCGATATGTGGCAGGCTGGCCTCGTTGACCATGAACACTGCCTTGATGCCCAATGGGATGCATCTTCCAAGATAATTATGTGATGGTCGCGATTGACCATGAGTACTGTCGTGAAACGATCAGTGTTTTTGTAGTATGTTCCAGCTACTACATGATAGCTCCTCCTAACCATTACTTCATGGAATATTTAAGGTCGGTTGTTTTCAGCGCAAGAACTCATGATGCCGTAAGATCATAAGTCTATGGCCTTTCCTGCCTACGTTGAATAGGCCAGCCTTGTGTCGGAAAGTACGGAAACTTCAGTGATGTTTTTACCACGTTCGTTCTGGTGGAATCTGCCTAGTAATTAAGTGCACGGAGAAGCGTACTGTGCGATTCAAAATATTACCGTGGAATAACACATGACTGGCCTTTTGAATGACGAAGTGGGCAGTTTAATTAGGGTTCGCGACTGTGTTGTGACCAAATCGTGGGCAAAAACGCGTGTCTGTTGGGTGGATATCGCTCTAGTTTGTCAGGTCTCGCGCCTGTCGGATGTTGTACTTAGTGTGCGTCAGTGTCAAGGGTCATATCTGTGAACCGTGGTGAGGGCCAGCTCTTACAAGCGCTGCCGGCTCTCTCCCCTCCATGTGATGCCTGGGTTACGAATACCGATAGCGTCATGGCCCCCGAGCGTTAACATAGCCGCTGCAGTGGCTGGTGCTTCATAGAAGTGCTGGCGACGACGGGCGTCACGCTCCGTCTGCAAATTAAGTGGGACTCCGCTTCATTGTCGAGTTGTGTCGGCTCGATGCTTCAAAACGCAGCGCCAGCTGCGGCCCGTCAGCACCCGCCGGCGCTGAGCTCGCTAGACATGCAGGCGGCGCACGCTTTTGCGCTGTGAGGACGGTTTCTAGTCCGCATTTGCTCCGTTTGCCGAGACCTGGCACTGATAGAGCGACCTTCAGTCCCCGAACACGCAACATGTTGGTGGCTGCGTGATATGGCGTCGAGAGCTGATGACCTTCTGTACGCACAGAGGGAGACGTGTATCTGTACCAGTACGATTGCCCTCTTCGGTCTTGGTCAAACTGTGCTGGTCCGGCATTGCTGCAGATCTGGCTGGCGTGGGTCTGGATCGGGGTCTCGTTTTCCCCCGCTTTGGGCTTCAGCTTGAGATTTGCGCGTTGTCCATGCTGGTGGATTGGAAAACGTTTGATATTGACCGCACAGGTACTATATTGCCGAAGGAATACGTGGGTCCAACCAGACGGCGCTCTCCCATCTCAGGCATGCTTTCAATATGGCAAAAGAACGCTGCTGTTTGTGTCCGTCTACTGCTTTGGGATGCGATCAGTGGTTAACCCCTCCCTCCAAAAAATAGCACAAAAACCTGTGTGGCTCGCCCGCAAAATGAACAACTTTTCCGCTTATATGCCGTGGTACTCGACAGGCAAGCCGGTTCGAACAGCCTGACTCGGTAGCTGTCATTCGGCTGCCGGTTCTCTGCTGCATCCCGCAGCCACCGCCTGGCAGCGCAGGGCGCGGGTGCCGGGCCACGGGTCACGGAGCACAGACCGCGGCGGAGCTAGCGACCTTATGGTCTCTGACGGCCCCAGTACATGGGGATCGGCGGGGATGGTGACCGCACGGTCTCTGACGGCCCCAGCACATGGGGGATCGGCACGGCTGGTGACCTCACGGTCTCTGACGGCCCCAGCACATGGGAGGACAATCGGGATCGGCACGGCTGGTGACCTCACGGTCTCCGATGGCCCCAGCACATGGGAGGACGATCGGGATCAGCACGGCTGGTGACCTCACGGTCTTTGGTGGTCCCAGCACATGGGAAGGCGATCGCGATCGGCACGGCCGGTGACGTCACGGTCTTTGGTGGTCCCAGCACATGGGAGGGCGATCGGGATCGGCACGGCTGGTGACCTCACGGTCTCTGATGGCCCCAGCACATGGGAAGGCGATCGCGATCGGCACGGCTGGTGACCTCACGGTCTCTGATGGCCCCAGCACATGGGAAGGCGATCGCGATTGGCACGGCCGGTGACCTCACGGTCTTTGGTGGTCCCAGCACATGGGAGGGCGATCGGGATCGGCACGGCTGGTGACCTCACGGTCTCCGGTGGTCCCAGTACATGGGAGGGCGATGTTGATACGGCAGGTTCATCGCCTTCCCGTCTATCCGTCCCGTAGTGCAGAGCTGCCCAGGTGGGCGCTGGCGAACCGCCCAGCCGCCAGGTCACTGCCCGGAGCTAGAGCCCAGGTCGTTGCCCGGAGTTAGAACGGGAACTGGACCTGCGAACAGGCTGCGACTTGGACAAGCACCGGCTGAGTCCAGTCAGCTCTAAAGACGTGTTAGTTTTTCAACCAGTTTTAACTAACGGTGAGAGTGGCATGAAGCGAGCGTATCGTGTCAGGAAATGGAATGGCTTTTGTGTGCGATAATGTCTGCGATTGTGTGTTCTGTGCATGTGAGCGTTACCGGTATTGGACGGTACCACAAAGGATGAAGTTTTGTCTGGACCTAACAAAAAAGCATAATACCAAGCCAGCATTCTATCCCCAAGAAAACTTGATGTTTGACATGTCGCTACTTTGCGTTTTGTGTTCCGCGGTCGCGTTATGGACTGCAAACGTTGTGGCCGTCATCTGCCATTGCTAGGCGGGACTCACCCACGACTTCATCATGCGATCAACGCTAGGCGAGTTGCTGCGGCATAAAAAGAAAATGGGAAACAGAACATGCCATCGAATGAGGGAGTATGTCGAAACGGCTGTACGTTTAACGCAAGGACTACTTTTTGATAGGTCCATTCCTCGTGAGTGAACATCCATTGCAGCTATAGCTCCTTTCATATGGTGAAATGCATGTTGTTGGGCCGCCTTTAAGCCGCCGATGGGCATCTCAGTGCCGTCAGCAACGGTGTGAGGTCAGGGATGGAGGTCCGTGAGCGCGAGGAGCTCTGCTAACTCTCCGACAGTGTTGCAAAAATGACTCAGATACTAATGTGTGTGTCACTGATTGGTGAAACTGACGTTAGATTGTAACCGACAAGCAGGGAGCAAGCCGTACATTAATGTTTCAAAACTGCTGTCATCTGCGGTTGGTTTGTATTGTGCGAGGGGGAGGTAGCGAGAGAGCGATCCACTCTGCCGGAATTGGTCAGCTGACGGTCCGACCAGGAAGGCGTCGGGTGTAGAGCGAATCATTCTCTAACTACTGGGTACCACGGCCAGTCGCCGGTTTAAAGAAATGCTTTACATTTGAAGATATGGAAGCGGGCGCAGATGTGATGGAACAAGCTCACTTATAACTATTGATGTCCTTTTTAAGTACAAAGACTGCTTAAGACAGCACAATTATGTGCTTAATAAATATTCTCCTCGATGCGTTATGGTTTGATTGCGTCATCGTATAACGGAATAACATTGATTGAGAATCAATTGACGGCCGTTTTTGGAAATCGCGCTCACGAACGCCAGATCTGAACGCCTCGACAATAATATTTTTATTGGTCTTGATCGTCGCATGGCTTATGGGATGGCGTGATTTGAATGACATCATTATGACGTCATGAGTGCCAGGGTAGCTTTGAAATACTTTCCCCGATATACCTTCCCCATTTCGCGGACGTAAAGCTCAGAAACTAGAGTGGCTTAGGTCTTAAGAAGGCAGGATTGCGAACAACACCGAAAGGTCTTCAAGGTGGCTATTTTAATTCAAAACGCCGTATAGATGTGGAACACTCCGTTTGAAGGGAATGTTCCACATTTGAAGACAGGAAGCAAGCGTCGGTTGTGATGAAATAAGCTCACTGATAACTTTTGGCGTGCCTTTGTGTGGAAAAGATTATCCAAAACAACACAATTTAGACATCACAATTTTAGACAGCACAATTTAGACAGCACAACACACACAATAGATGTCCAAGAAAACACCGTCGTGCCTTGCACCATATGGATTAGCTAATAGCGAGGGCCAATTGGCGGTCGTTATATCTGGAAATCGTGTCGACGAGCGTCAGGTATGAACAACTTGATAATCATACTTTTCGTGGCCTTAATTGCTGCATTGCTAATGGAATGCCAGGATTTCAATGGCGTTACTATGGCGTCATGGATGCCTGGGTAACCTCGAAATGGTCTCCTCGAAATAGTCGGCACATCTTGACGGGCGTGCAGCTCGGAAACTGGATAGGTTTAGATTTAAAGGATGGATGGGCTATGAACTGCACCGAATTATCTTCAAGATGGTTATTTCAGTTCAAAACCCCATATAAATGTGGAACACTCTCGGTAATGGATTGGCAAGTTTCCCTCGTGGAGGTATTGTTCACGTAGCCAGACGGACAAATGAATTAATGGATGACTTCCTCGACGTTGCTGCTCATGTGTGACGCCTGTGCCACATCCCACTATTTCGAGTAACGTGCTTTTGGTGTGACATTAACTTTTGCAATGGCAGTGCATTTGTGCTAGGATGCGACACAAACAACGAACCGCGGGCAGGTGTCCAAGAAGATCCCAAGATGTGCAGACTGCGTCTTAAACAATATAGCTGCAGAAACTATAGCTACAGAAATAACTATCTTTAACAGGGGACCGCCTATGCGTGTTTTTTTAATCGAAATGGGATAGCTTAGTTAACTTATTCAAGAACAGTGGAATTAATAAAGGTCAGTGAACGTCCGCCTCAGCGTAGCCGTTCACAAAGACATGAAACTAAAGGGAACATTGATCCTCACAAGGACCTGCGCTCGATGTGGACATAAGTTAGCTTGAAAACATGGGGTCCCTGACATAAAAGTTAAATAGGTTGAAGCTGCGTAATAATTAAATAGGTTTGAAGCTGGTTTGAAGCTGCATCATCGCGTTTCTGTGTCATTGTTATCATGTGTCCCGTCCTGACACTGTTAGAATTGTCGGAAGTGTGGATTTCTTCTCGGAGATGCTATCGGAGCCCAGCGTTACTTACGGCAGCTTTTGCCGCTACACTCGTATGATATAGCCGCAAATGTCAAAAGATCCCAACCATGGCAGCTTGTGTAGTGGGGTTCCTAAATGTGGCAGCACTTTCGTTGATGGACTTATGATCGAACAAAACAAAGGCTGGGCAGGCGAAAATCACATTTTTGTGATATTGCTACGCCTTTCAATATATGCAGTGAGGAAAGAAGGTTAATTTCAAAATGCCCCGAGATGTCGTCGAGAGACGTGGTGTCACCTGGCATGAGCAAACAGCTGTCACAACCGTTACCCCAAGTGAATAAAAAGAAGCACCTAGGTAACCTTTTGAATGGAAGCTCTTGTCAGAGCAGCCGCGATGTCACGCATTCATTATTTTGGAAATTTAAAGAGGTAAAAGCGTCAATCAAGACAAAAAGCTACCTAACTTTAAATTCTATGTCTGACTTACAGATGCACGCATGTAGGTGAACAACACAGTGACAGAATGTCCTGTGATATTAAGACTGGAATGACAGGCGGTTCGGCCTGTAATTTGCCTAGGTAACCAAACATAATACGGAAAAGGCATTTCGGTGCGATATTTTTGTATATTTCAAACTCATCGAGGACGGCTAGCACTCAAACATGCAGAACGCTTCGGGCGGCAAGAGGTGAATATTTTTTGCAAGATTGGATGGGTATCATGAGCCCATGAAAAACACTAGTGCCATCTGTAATCCTGATGTTGTACGATGGGTGCCGCCTAAGTTAACGTTCCAACGCGCGGACAATATGGCTTGCAGCTGAATGTTAGAAATTTAACTCCAAAAGAACACCTGGCGTACGAGAGAACAAACGTCTCATCTGATACTGATATCGTTTTAGCTGTGTGTGCCTTTTCAATTTGCCAAAAAAAACCGCCTCTGAAAAGCTCCTATGGGCCTGGCTTGCTTGGCTTCTGTGGCTTGCCAAGGAGCCCCGCGGTGACGTCACGATGGGGTTGCCAGATGAATTTAAGGTAAGGGGGCTGGACAGATCATTGCTGGAGTCGTGTTACTTGCGTTTTTCCGCGATGGTTGGGCCTTGAAAGATATCTTGAGCATTAAGCCTGTCGCCTCGTTTATTGCCTGCATGGCCTTAGCTGCAAAGTGCGTCGTCAGGCCCCAATGAAAAGAGAGACATGCTGAAATTTGTTTTTCTATGTTGCTTCCACCTTATATGAAGGCACATGATGCTGTGAAATCGCTATCAGATGGCACATGATATGTGCTATGACCCAGTGTAGCACAAAAGCTGAAAAATATGATAATTTCTCGGGACCCAGATGTGCTGAGTTTACTCGTTTTTTGCGCGGCCTGGTGACGCAATCAGCTGCCGAGGCTATGTGGTCAGGAGTGTTTCTTGAGAACTTCGCTGCTCCAACTTATGTTGTAACTTCTTAGGACTGTGGCGCCTTGATTCTGTTGATGTGCCCAGGGCGTCCTGGCGTTGTCACTGCACTGTTTGTCTCTTCAGTGTTGTGGCTTCCCCACTGCGTCCTTGGTGACCTACTGACGTGACCCCACCGCTGTCGCCTCCGCAGGACGCTGGTGACGTCATCGCCGCTGCTAGAGCTAACGTCACGCCAGCTGGCGCCAACTAACCTGCACGTGCTGGTGCACCGTCGGCCGGGCGACGGTGGCGGCGGCGGGACCGCAACGCCGCTGCTGCCGCGCCCTGGGCATGCCTTCCGACGTGGCACCGTTATCCACATCCGGCTGGAGCATGGTGCGGCGGCGCTGGCGGCGCCGCGTCCGCCGCCGTCGCCGCCGACCGACGACCGCGCGCCGTGCTGCGGCCGCGCCGCGCCGCGCCACCTCCAGCCCTGCTGCGCCGCTTTCGCCCGCGAGATGGGCCTCCGTCTGCTGGACACCTCGCTGTCGCCCACCCCCAGCGCCGTGTCGTCGCGACTGTCCCCCGGGGAGAGCGTGTCGTCCGCGATTGTGTCACCCGAGACCAGCGCCTCGTCCGCCTGCCTGTCGTCGCCGGCGACGACGGGAACGTCTGGCCCGGAGCTGGAGCCGGGGCGGGAGTCGGAGCCGGAGCCGGAGCCGGAGCCGGAGCCGGAGCCGGAGCCGATGTGGTACCAGATCCCGGTGACGCTGCGGGGGTTCCGGGCGCCGCTGGCCAGACGCAGCAGCGGCGGCTGGCTGGCGACCGCCGAGTAAGGTCAGCGCGGCTGGAGCTCTGGCCGGCCGGGCGGGGGCTGACCTGGGATCACACCGCCGCTTCCGCCGTGCGCTGATGACGCAGATGCACTGTGGGATGTGCTATACTCGGCCGAGCTGGATCCCGTTACGGGAGGCACGTAGAAGTTTCTCGGAGACTGTTGCCGCGTGTTGATGCGTTTTAGGTCATGCTGTGCGCTAAAAGCTGTTTGGATTGAGCCCTGGGAAAGGGGCCACGTGACTGTTTTTTAGGGGGCCTTCCCTTTCTCGTTTGACTCGGGTGTGCTGCTTTTGTGAAGACACTTCACGGCGAGAGGACATAAAGCGGTAATGATGGTCAGGGATGTTAATTTTAACTGCGAACAACTCCTCGTTGCCAGCGTTTTGTCGTGTTAGATGCTGTTGGGCCGCAGTGGCCCTGTCTCCTCCTCTGACACCACGCGACCACGCTCGCGAGCCCGTCTGGCACCGTCTGGTCAGTCTCCGACTTCGAGTGATCCACCTGTCGGATGAGCGCGATGACCAGTTTGGCGGCCACGGGTGGCCTGACCACCTCCACCTGTTAACCGGGCACCTCCAGGTTAGGAAGACTCCCCCAGAGGCAGCTCAGCGCCAGGCTGTTGGCACGTAATGGTGCGTGTGGCCCTCGTTACGTCCCGACAGGGCATCGCCCTTTAACTGCTCTGGAAAAACCGCCACCTGGTGCTGTAACGCGCGCACGAGCTGGGCCGGGCGGTGTGCGATATTAGAGAGCCTTGGACGGGTTTGCCCAGGGCCTTGGCCCGCTTGGGCCTACCGCCAGTGGGCGAGGGGGCGCGCGTGGCACTGATGTCATGTTCGTGTGTTTAACGACAGGGGCATCGCATAATAGCGACATTGGCGTGAAGGAATTCCGTTTTCCAGGCAGGAGAGGAGGAACTCAGTGTGAAGAAGCCGAGCCAAGTGTGACTAGAATCATTGTTTGCACACCAAGCGAACGTTCGCGCACATGAGACGTGACTAATACAGTGGGATGTGGAACGTGAAATCGTCAACGCCTGTGTCATATCTGCTTGTGTGTATTTATATTAAGTACTGTCAGCGTAGTTGGTACGACTTGTATCATGCTACCCTGTTTTCTTCGTATGCACTTATGTACCCAGAAGCAACGCTTTGACAAACCTGCCTATGAACAAGCGGTGACATCTATTACTGGATCAGATTAAGATGATTGACGAAACAGACGGCTGGTTTTCCCAAACAGCGTGATACGTCAATCATCGCCAAGGCTACAAGGTGAAACATCGACGAGGCAGATCAGCTACCGGACGCTGCGCAGTGGTGTGCGTGTCCAGAGCTACTGCCGCGGCTGTAGCCACTGGACCACGGTAGTCGCTGTGCCCTCAGTGTCCGCGGCCGCGCGGCTGTAGCCACTGGGCCACTGTAGTCACTGTGCCCTCAGTGTCCGCGGCCGTGCGGCTGTAGCCACTGGGCCACTGTAGTCGCGCCACAATAGCTGCTGTGCCCTCAGTGCCCCCAGCCGCGCGGCTGTAGCCACTGGGCCACGGTAGTCGCGCCGCTATAGCTGCTGTGCCCTCAGCGTCCGCGGCCGCGCCACTAGTACGGCCCTGCCACTGCCACTAGTACAGCCCTGCCACTGCCACTAGTGCAGCCCTCTAGACATGCATGGCGTTCTGGTCGGCAACAGGCTGAGCCCGACGAGTGACGGCGTGTCGCTAACTGCGGCATTTCAGCATTGCTTAAGAGGGCAGCAAGTAAGTACACGAGTTACTGGCATCCGCCTTCATCAGGTGGGGGACAGGCGGGAGGATGTGTGCGCAGCCCGAGGCTCTCAACGGGAGGCCTCCTGACGGATGGCCCAGCAACGGCGTGACTCAAACTTTAAGTCTGGATTACGCTTGGAAGTGGGTCTACAGATAACTTGCTTTTTAGTCATATGAGTTAAAGACAGAGCTGTCTACTGATTTCCGCTCTATCTCGCGATATTTCTCTCACCGTTAACCGTCTGTTCCTCCCGTTGTCAGTAGTCTGCCAAGGTTTGGATCAGCAAATGGAACGGGTTTAGTACCACCCCGGTGCAAAACTGGAAGAGACTGCGACGTGGTAGGCATGGCCATAGCCACACCGACTGTCATTAAGCTGGTCATTTCACTGTTTCCATTTGATACGTACCCATTCTGGCAACTTGGCCACACTTCAGCCCGCCTCGCCGACTCTGCCAAGCAGTGACCACGGCCGGGCGCGGGCGCCCAGTATTCACTCGCCCCGTCGGCACTAAAATCCTGCACACAATTTGCGGCGAAAGAACCAGCGGATGACAACAAATGGATATCCTCTGAAATCATTAGAGATGCCGGTTAGTATTTCACTGACAAGGGGCAACTAAAAATCAGGTTTTGCTTTCGGCTCCACCCTGCACGCGCCAGTTTCTTGCACAACAAATTGTCAGCGAGTGGTGAACATCCATGAATTGCTGTCTTCCCATCTCCAGGAACTGAACGGATGCGTATTGAAAGGTCCAGTGTTCATAAAGTCCAGTGGTCATAAAGTCCAGTGTTCATGAAGTGAAGTGGTCATAAAGTCCAGTGTTCAAAAAGTCCAGTGTTCATTACGTCCTGCGTGCGTGAGATCCACGGTTTGGGATGTTGTCCCACCTAGCAGCCCTTCACCTCATGCTTCGGATGCTGCCCGATAGAGGGCCACCGGAGCCGATTTCGCCCGCCTCAGCCGACGAGTGACGTCATGCGGTACGGTGCTGCCCAGTTAAACCGCTGTGCATGAATATGGACAACGTTTTGCTTAAGCGCATAAAGTTTGCCGCGTCAGCACGCCCTTGGTAGCAGGCACCTTAAATAATTCAAAACATTGATCCCTGGCTCGTGGCATCGGAAATAGCTGGTTATTCGGCAGAAGCTGCACGCTATTCGTGGAAAGCGCTTGTCAGGCTGCCTGCTGTTGGGTACTGTGGGTAATGAATAAGATTCTCCGCGGTATTTGGCTCCGTTATTTACTGTATGTGTTCGTCATGTTTCTCATTTTTTGAAGGAATTGGTGACTGATGTGTTGGGTTGACTGATTTGATGTCTGCTTCAGGTAGGTGCGCATATAGATCTCCAGCTCCTGGCACGCTAACCTATATTGCTAGCGATTTTATTTGATTGATTCTCCTCCCTCCTTCAATTGCAAACTCCTTCATACGCTCCTGGAAACGAGGCTTATTCTGAATTATGCATGCCTTTACTCTCAAAGAGAGGGGGTGGGGGCTATATCACCAGCTGAATCCGGATACTACTCCCTTGTGAGACATGTTCAATGGCCCAGCCTACTCGCTTCTTCGATTAAGTATGTTTTAAACGGGCGTGGTTTACCAAAATAAGTTGGTTGGCAGAGCGATGAAAATACGGCGCAGAGTGCCTTGATAGTATGCCAACTAATTGGTTTCTCTCCGAATTTGGCTCACTTTCTCACAAATCTGCAGGCTGCGACCCAAGTTACGGCGGGGGTGAAATCCCTGCAACTGAATAGGGAATCGCACTCCTGGTTGCCAGTAAATAGGAAGTAAAAAAGCAAACATTGACTGCAATGTATTCAACTGCATGCCAAACGTCACGCAAAACAATACGCACGTAGCGCGCTTAGAGGCGCTGTTGATTCACCATCTGAACAGCGGAGCAGAGTGTATGTGGATGAGCCGGTTTGCGATGGATGAGCTGTCTGAATTGGGAGAATTGTGAGCCTGTATTCGCCATCCACTTCATCAATCTTGACACGCTTTCTTCCTTTTACGCTGCAGAACCTCCTAAGTATAGAATTTGGGGTCCAGCAACACCAGCCTGGAGTTTATCGGGACGGGTGCAGTTCGCGCCGCAGAGGGGGCGATGGTAGCATGGTGGTTAGTGGTTAGGGCGCTCATCTCTGGACTTTCCTATCCTGGGATGGAGTCCTGGCCACACCACTACCGCATCCCACGTACCTAATGCCTGATAAATGCGTAGTAGAGGCGTTCCGCCTCGAAATAGCCATAGCAGCCGGTGAGACGTAAACCCCCAATCGGTATTACAGCCAGTCCCGACAAACGAACCGCCGCCCGCCAAATTTGCGGACAATGCTTCCTCTAAATCACTATATACATGTGGGAATAATGGAATAATAATATGCAATCGGTTGGACGCGGATTTCGGACACATAGGCCAGCCCAGGCGCTGCCCAGCTCGACGGCCCGGCCGGCAGTCACGCCCGCGGCGGGCCGGCGGACGAGGCAGTCCGGCCGCCAAAAAAACAACGCATTCACGCGCGCGCCGTCCCTCGCCCAAGAACCGAACTCCGCCACACGCGCGCTAGGCCTGTCTGTGGGGCAGCCCGTCCGCGGTCGAAACGCTGCCAGTTCAGTCGGGCACGCCGCCATCTTCGCGTCAGAGCCCGAGGCCCCTGACTCGTTTTCACTTGGTTCGCCGCGGTACACATCCTGGCGGACCGGACATCCGGATGTGTCGGACATCTCGGGATCTCGCTCGTGCTGGACCGGAGCCGCCCCCCCCCCCCCTTCCTCCTTCACGGGCGCCTTAATGGAAGAGCCTCATGTCAGTCAGGAACCAGCAACGGATAGGGTCACTCTGCCCGTTCTCTCCAGGGCCCAAATGCGTCGAAATGGGATCCCTGTGCTATTCATTAAACCCGCTGCTCTTGGGACCTTTTTGAAACGGTGAGTGGCCCCGCGTTGATCCAGGGTCGACCATCCCGGTAAGAGGACTTTCGGCGTCAGAGAGGGGACCAATGTATTATGTGTAGTAATAGTAACCGATTGGAAGTCTGAAAGGGGGCGGAAAGGTCCTTTAGCAATCGAGAAACGCATGAGGTCTCAAGTCTTGACTGAAAGCTCTATTGGGGTCTGGCTGTTGAAGGGGGGGGGGAGAAGGGCAAAGGGTCCAAGAACCCCATGGGAGGAGGTCTGTTCGGAACTGTGAAGTCCAAAAAATGACCATGCTGAATGAGGAGAGCAAAAATATTGTCAAATAAAAATTCTGACAATGCCGTAGCAGTGTCTAGCAGGCAAAGAAGCCCTCTCTGGTAAACGCGTGGACCCCCTCTGGCCGCTCAGTCAAAATACTTATGTTTCAAAAACACTGTCACGCCAAATGCTCACATGCACCATATATCTTTTCGTGATTGACGGTGACAAGATATTTAGGTGATTCTGTCGGTGAAAATGACAGCATATCGTACAATGTTCTGTTTCTTGTGCAGATTGTCTAGCCTCCGGAATATCTGGCCGAGTTATGACCAGAGTGACATAACGGGGGAGCTTTGGCACCCACAGTTCGGAGTGCAAAAAATGTGGATTCATGTAATGTTACGTTTAGGAAATATGTGGCTGATAGTAATATCATTTCTGCCTGTGCGTTGTACGTATGTTTAAGTACTTATGCTCGCTGTACGCCTTAACCATCGCACTGATTCGCCATTTTGCATAACTCGGGCTGACAGGGGGAGAGGGGGT